ACATAGCCTAGAAAGGCGCATTTTTATTTGTTGATCAATGTCTGGATTCAACGAAAAAATCACCAAGTTATTCAAGATACTTTATTTATTTCACCTTCATTTAACAGGTAAAAAAATATTGAGGTGAAAAACCTCTTCCAGAAGGAATTGGGTTGAAAAAATATTGTACAGTAGAAATATTAACACAGCTGATCTTGTTTCTTCAACAGCTGTTTTATGTTGTGAAGCGTTCAAGGGAGGAGTGGATGTTGCAGTGTGCCTGATCACCTATCACTCACTTTGATCAAAACATGACCTTGATGTAGAAAACGTTAAAACACTCCAAACGCTACCAGCCTCTGTATAAATGACAACAATCAGAACTCAAAAAGAGGAGTTGGCCCTTTGTCATGGACCTTCTCTAAAATAGATACAGAACATAAATCCAAAACCCAGCACTCAGTTCATCTATCTTAGAACAGGACAGTGACCATTGTTCGGAATAGAAAGATAGAGAGATGGCAGCAACGTCAACTGAGTGTTGGAAGAAAGGAGTGGACTTGTGCCTTGAATAAAATTGAAGAAAGCTGAAATAAGAGCGTTTTTTAAAGAGAAAGTGTCAAATAAAGTTGCAAAAATTTAAGACGGATACACACGCTGATCTTATTTATTCACGATGTACTTACAAACACATCCGCAGACTAACTGCTGGATCTTCTCTCTGTTTCAAAGAACGAATTTTACCTCAGGTCTTCGCTCATTTACCAGCTTTACATTCAGGGGCGGAGCCAGGGGCGTGACAGGGTAGACAATTGTCACCCCCGAAAAAAAATAAAAAATCGAAAATCTGAAACATTCTGCGTATAAGTGTACGACACTCGGTCTGGTGGACTCCGTGCAACTGCATTGTCAGAGTGTGTCGCCAACCGATGGCGTGGGGTATAGCCGATTTCTTAGCGCGTCGTCCTCGGCCTGCGCCTGAAGCCGAGCCTGCCCTTCAGCGGAGGCATGATCGTTCGCCTTCGCCGCCGCCGGATGAAGAACGGATTTCGCCACAGTCCGATGAGCAAGTGCGGCAGCTACGGCCCGTTCGCGCTCTGGATCGCGACCCCGCCACGAGGCTACCGATGGCGGTGATGGCGGAGTCGGACGCCGGAAGTATTGCGCTACGCAACCTGGCCTGACCGGGACGTTGAAATACCCGTCCAAGTTCGTTGGCGGCGCTATCCGCCGCCCGACGGCGTCTTTGTTTGTTCAGTTCGACTGGCTCGAGTACTCGTTCATCAGCGAGTCTGTTTACTGCTTCTATTGCTACCTCTTCCCGCCAACGTCAAGCGCAGATAACGTTGCGTCGGCATTCATCTACTCCCCCGGCTTCTCAACCTGGAATATGATCGGTGGCAAGAATTGCAGCCTACTCAAGCATCAGGGTGGGCACAAGTCGGCACACAACATCGCCGTGAAGAAGGCCAGGGACCTTCTCAACGCCCGGCAGCACGTCATCACGGGCGACGCTGGGCTGGCCCGACAGAATGCCAAAACTATTGACGGCAACCGCAAGCGCCTGGACGCCTCCGTCGACGTCATGCGCGTCTGCATGAACCAGGGCATTGCGATGTGGGGACACGACGAGTCGCCTGGCTCTCTTAACCGGGGCAATTTTCTGGAGATTCTCGACATGTTACGCAAGCGCGACGCACTGCTTGCGGCCATCACCTGGGAGAACGCGCCGCAGAATGCGACCATGACCAGCCCCGACGTTCAGAAGGACCTGATCCATGCTCACGCTCAACTGGTGCGCCGGCGCCTCGACACCGAGATTGGCGACGCGTACTATTGCATCATGGCGAACGAGTCGCGTGACGTCAGCTTTGTCGAGGTCAATACGGGCATCCTGCGCGAGCGACTCGTCGACATTCAGCACGTGTCGGACACGTGTGCGCCCACCCTCTGCAGCGCCATTGTCAACCTGCTCTCGAGTCGCCAGCGCCCTATTGAGACCTGCTGCGGCCAAGGATACGATGGCGCGTCGAGCATGAGCGGTGAGATCGCTGGCTTGCAGACCTTGATCAAGGCCATGAACGACATGGCCTACTACACGCAATGCTGGGCGCATAAGCTGCAGCTCGCTCTCGTCGCTGCCTGCACAAATGGCGTCGCCGACATTGCCGTGTTCTTTGACCTCGTCCAGGACATAATCCACACTGCCAACAGCTCGTGCAAGCGCAACGACCAACTGCTCGCCGAGCACAAGAAGCTCGTCGACGACCTGGTCGATGAGCTGGCGGTCTCCACTGGCCGCGGTCAGAATCAGGAGACGGCGTTGTCGGCGGTGGGCAACACGAGGTGGTCGTCTTTCTGGCGCTCGCTGCACCGCCTGATTGAGATGTTCAACGTGACTGCCGTCGTCAGCCAGAACGTGGAAGAGGACGGCGCCAAGGCAGAGCAACGGGCCGAAGCTCATTGCCTTCTCAACGACATGTTCTCGTTTAAGTTCGCGTTCTGCCTGCACCTAATGGAGCGCTTGCTTAAGATCACGAACGATTTGCACGTGGCGCTGCAGAAAGAGGACCAGGACGTCAATGCGATGCGGCTTGTCGATTGCACCATTGAGTCGATGAAGGAGCTGCGCGAGAACGGCTACGACGATCTGCTCAAGGACGTCAACGCCTTCTGCGACGTCAACGAGGTACCCGTCGTCGACATGAACGCGAACTACACCCACCCTGGACGTCCTCGGCGCTGCACCTACGTCATCACCAACAACCACGTGTTTCACATCGACCTCTTTAACGCCTCGATCGACAAGATGCTGGTCGAGCTCAATCTGTGTTTCAGCGCGGAGTCGATGAAGATGTTGCGGCTGGCGGTCCATTTATCGCCCCGCAATCGATTTGAGTCGTTCAACGTCAGCAAGATCCTGGAACTGGCCTGTGATTTTTACAAGTGCGATTTTCCCGATCTCGACATGCTTCTCCTCGAGCAGCAGCTGCTCCACTTCGAATAGGAAATCCGGCGAGATGAAGCGCTGAAGAATGTGAACACGCTGCCAATGCTGTCTATCAACCTGGCGACAAGCGGCCGCAGAGATTCCGGCTTTCACCTGGTCTACCGCCTGGTGCGCCTCGTGTTGACCCCACCGGTGGCCACCGCCACAGCCGAGCGCATCTTTAGCGCGATGAAGCACATTAAGACCCGATTGCGTACCACCATGGGCGCCGAGTACTTTACTGACGCGATGCTCCTGTTCGTCGAAAACGACATCCCAAAGGGCGTCACCAACGACGAAATCATGGAGCAGTTCCAGTCGATGCGCCCGCGCCGCAATCGTATCGTCTGAACTCTAGTTCAACAGCCTGACTCTCTAATCATTCTTGAAATTAAAATGTGTTGAATGTCACCCGGAGGACGCTGCAAATGACGCTGCTCTGGATGACGCTGCTCCGGATGACGCTGCAAAGTATTATCTGTATTTTGATTTAGCGTGCTGATCTTAAAGGTGCATTGAAAAATTTGATACTCCGACTGATGCTTCTGTTGTTGTGGAGTAACTCATGCAGCCAGCTATGGCTCTAGGATTTGGTGTTACATGTTATTTATGTCGTTTATTGTAAAAATTCGGTCACAGTCCCTATGATCACTGTTACGTTGCAATTATGGCTTTATTTTTTGGTGATTTCGAAAAGTTTTTTGGTTTGGACATGTTTGTTTTGTTGTAGTACGGAGTTAGACTGACGGCCTTAATCTAAGTTTTCTTGTGGTTGTTGTTGTTGTTTGACTTGCATCCCACTGGGATTTTTTGCACACTGCGTTGGTGTACGGTGCTTTTTTCAGGAATATTTAGCTGTTTTTTTTCATGGATTTTCTGTTTGCACAGTCACATAGTCACTTTAAGATGTTTTCTTGTTCGTGTTTTAGTTTTTTTGCTTGTTGTGGTTGCACCCGATTCAAGAGCCGAATGGCTCACGGGGCTATACCAAAATAAATAAACTGTAAAAAAGAAGTGATTTAAATAAAAAAAATTGTAAATTGTCAAACTGCAGAACTGCATTGTGGAAGGTAAACGTGCGTTTTTTTGTGTCACTGTTGCAATGAGTTCAGGCCCAAAGCCCCAACATGCCGAGAGGTCAGCCAGATAATAAGGAATGCTTTTCTCCAATTGTGCACGGTTATAAGAGCTTGGGGAAAAGGGGCAATGGGAGGAAATTCCAAACTCGGTCAGTGTGAGGAAGAACGATCAAGACGAGTTATTTTTACCTCTATAATGGTGATCGAACACAGTAAGGATGAGATGATAAAGTCAGTCTGATATGTTTGTATGTATGTCGAGCTTATTTTGCACCATACGTAGCCAACCATGCTAATCGATGGTGCGGAGGAAGGACAACAAATAAAAACACAAAAAAAGCAGTTCTAAAGAAATGCATTATCAATCTAACTTTAAAAGTGCATAGCTCCGGTGGTTTTCTAATCTCGGAAGGAAGAGCATTCCAGATGGCCGCAGAAGGGCATCTGAAAGCAGGCGATGCCAGTGAACCATCTTATTTGATGGCTAGCCATTGCTGCTGTGAGGATGCCCGGAATTCACGTGATGATGATTTATGCTCTTTGACGAGATACCTAATCCTCAACATGGGTGGAGGAATCCATGAGTGAATTTCATGGGAACAGTAGCAGAGGAATGTAATCGTTAAGTTGAGCCCCGTTAGTCACGTTCCTTAACGGTGTTAAGAATGCATTTGTGTTAAGAATGCATTTGCATCAGGGTGTGAACCTGGATTCATTACTAGTCAACCAACATTGCTCCTACATTTATATTTTAAATGATTTTTTACCTTTCACTATACTTTACACTCCTATCGTGTTTTCGTATTTGTTGTTGCAACGTTCTGACCCGCCCCTACTGGACATCTGCGACAAAGAGCTTTAGACCTCATCGGATTCCTCCAGGAAAAATAAATACAGATTATGAGATTCTGACCTTGAGTGCTGAGACACCATGCCTTTGCTTTCCCCATCAGGGATCTGCTCAAGTCGCTGGTGCCCCCCAAAAGCGTGCTGCTGCTGCTGTGCGGGGTGAGTGAAGAGGACGCCCAAGGCCTGCTCGTCGCCCTGCACGTCTCTCACCGGTGGAAGATACTGTCCTGCGAGAGCGCCCCGGAGAACTTCGTTGCCACCATCACCGACATCGTCACCGAAGGTAAGGGCCCTCCCCCGCCACCCCTCTCTTCTCACGATTATGCCCCCGATTGTCACCCATCCACACGCAATTTGGTGATTTGCTTTCGTGAAAAACCTTTGGCAGGCAGGTAAACGTACGATAGGACCGCTTTTTGTGTTTAGTTTGTTGTCCTTCCCCTGCACCTCTGATTAGCGCAGTTGGCTACGTACGGTTTCTTCACTTCTCACTGCTGAGTAAAAGTTTTCATCCATTCCTTCCTCTCTCTGAGTTGTTCCTGTCCAGTAATTCCCTCCAAAATTATTCCACTCGCCATCTCTTCTGCTGCCATCCTCTACTTTGGCCTCCTCCCATTATCCATAAGATTCAATTATTTTCAAGGAAAACGACTACAAAATAAGATTTAATCATTGTCAATGTATAATTTACGATGAAAAAAGATAGGGATATGTGTTAGCAGGAATATTATACAATAATAGCATTTTTTACAGTGTATGCTTGTGGTCAGATGCAGTTTCCTATATTGTCTAATTTATTGGGACCGATGCATTGTTTTAATGGTTGGATTTGTTCAAATTAACAGCACTTGCCAGTAATTGTGTGTGGTCTTGGACTAAAGGTCACCAGATCGATCTCTTGTCGTGGCATTTTAAACGATTGACAAGTTCCACCGAGCAATATAAATGGATACACCACAATTATAGTCAGTCGGAAGCTTGCATGTGTTGGGATAAAGAGTGGCTATTCACATCTCTTCCAAGAGCTCCCTGTGGTGGAGACCCTTCGAGCAGTAGTCTAAGCAAGCAATTGCAGGGCTGCACCTTTACCTCTGAGAAGAGTAACCCAATTAATGTATTCTGCTATCCAGAGCCATGTTATCACAGATAATGCATTGGGAATAAGAGTATTTTTAAAAAAATCATAATTATAAATTATTTGCTTTTGCCCGACATGGTTACTGCTCTTTGGGCACAGATCAGAGAAGTTCCACTGCATATAATAGTGTGAACACAGTGCAGTGTAGCTATACAACGCTCATGTACCTACCTCTTACTCGAGGGTTGTCTTGTGCAAAGTTACGTAATTATTACACGCCAATTAATACATTGCAGCATATGCAAATAATGTTGTTTTTCTGATAATTTGTTTAATGACTGTTCATTTATCACAGTACTCCACTATAAATTTTGAATCATTGTTGGTTTGTTAATTTATTTCTTGTTTTAGATTCCAATATATTTTTTATATGTTTTAGTCATTTACATTAAAAGGAATTGTTTAATCATACATTTATTAAAAAGTACACATGCTTTGAAAGTATCTTATGAATCAAGTTGCACGGAGGGACTTTGCATGGATGACAGCCGCTTCTCATGTGGCTTCAAACAACAGGCTTTGTGGAGAAGACATTTGCACTCATTCCACACAAAGGGCTTGCCACAAATTCACCACAATACCTTGCTAATCTCCTAAAGGAGCATAAACCATCAGGTGAATTCCGGTCATCCTCGCATCTGCTTTTAGCTTGCCATCAAACAAAGATGGTCACTTTATCCTGCGCTGTCAGGTGCACTTCTGCGGCCGTCCGGAACGCTTTTCCTTCGGATATTAGGAAGCCACTGGAGCTGTGCACTTTTAAATCTACATTGAAAACTAATTTCTTTAGAACCACTTTTTGTGTTTATTGTTTTTTGTCCTTTTGACGCATCTTCTGATTCGTATGGTTGGCTATGTACAGTACGAAAGAAGTTCAACATACATACAAGCAGAACTGTCCGAATAATTGCTTAGGAATTAAATGTGAATTACTATACGGTAAATTTAAAGTCGGGAGGAGCGGAGGTGCGGTGCAGTGCACTGCGCTGTGAACCCAGCGAACTGAGTTGGATTCCTGGTCACGGCTAACATCAGTGGCGAGCAATGATATCTGGATCTATCCTGGGTCCGCCCACCTTCACCAACAAATACTGACCAGTGCGGTGAAATAGTGTCAAAAAACTTCCATAACTGCCGTAACATTTAAAGGCCTTCATCCAACAATATGTTGACAAATGGCTGAAAATTATTATCTTCATTATATGGCAAATTGCAAGTGCCCATCCGTCTGTCACACTCTGCATCTCCAAAATGGTACGTCAGAGGAAAAATGTTAAAAATGAGTGTTACCAGGAAATTGTCAACTTTCGGCTGACAACATTTTGATCCCAAACTTTCCAAAAAACAACTTGGTACATCTCATAACCTGCCATATGAACATGATGATAGCACTGGAACGCACCTTGCACTTAAATGCTCAAACCGTGTGCAATTAATAATGGGTACTTGCAAGTGTCCAGAGAGTAACTCTTTGGTTATTTCGGTAAAGTCACGTAGAAAGATAAAATAACAAATTAAATAAAAGCATACGACGTTTCGATTGCAACACAAACAATCGTCATCAGGTACAAATGAAAGAGAAAACAAACCTAGTAAACTTAGAAATATAATGCAATACAACACAGATAGTAGGCTAACATAACAGTCAACACCCTACCTGGTTGATTACGTTATTTCAAAGATTGCTAAATTTGAGCGAGAGATAAAACACAGAACCGGAGACACACAGACAGACACACAAGCAGAGAGAGATAACACAGAGACACACAGAGAGAGACACACACATAGGCACACAGAGAAACAACGCCTCTGTGTCGAGGCCTTAAATAGAGGGGGCAGAGAGAGAGGGGGGGTAGAGAAATTAGCATGTCAATGAGAGACTTGGAGCCTTCGTAACTGCAGGAAATAAGAGCAACAAAACGAGGGGAGACAGAGAGAAAACACACTAAATCAAACAAACTTAGTCAAATTTGGAAATGTAACACAGAGAGTCGGTCAACACAGAGAGTCGGTCAACACACAATTAACGCATAGCCTGGTTGATTACATTCTTCCAAAGATTGCTAAATTAGAAGTTAAGTGTGAAATTTGAGAGAGAGACAAGACACAGACACGGAGACACAAAGACAGACACACGGGCAGAGAGAGACAACACCGGGACAGAGAGAGTGTCATTGGCATCTATTACAGATTTCACTATAAAATGTCAGGTATAATATGCCATTCTGTAATGCATTCCGTTCAATAACGGAGAACATGACAAAGGTACTATAATCTTTTTTCCTTTTTCCAAAATCAGATCGTACACCATACAACATTTCCTGTCGAGATGTATTGGCCCATTTGAACCAGAGTTTGCGGGAGACTTAAACATAACCAGAATTCTTCAAAGCTGTGTTGAACCTCCACAATACTAGTTCCAAGCAGAGTTCCAGTACATTTTAAATTCATTACTTTTGCAGACAACGTGTTTCTGAGCGAGAGGGTAACTTCACTTAAGTTTTATCTGGCGCAAATACGCAGGCAGTGCTAGTTATTAATTTTATGATAAAATAAATGTTATGAAATTAATGTGTGTGTAGGGATTTTATATATGAAAAAAAACATTAAACAAATCGATTGCATTAAGCTTTGTCCAAATCCATAACAAACTTGACCGCAGTACATAATAACCCACATATTTCAATACAGTACTGCAACACAATTTCAACCAGCCTCTATATATTCTCCCGCTGCATGCTATGAACACACACTTTAGCACGAGGTAAATATAGCAATCACGTAAATGTTTGATAGTATTTATGATTAATTCATTTGCATTTCCCTGGGGGTGTTGGAGGGAGGTGAATGAGCCGAGGTTCAGCTCCCTGCAGGTTTCCTGTTTGCTTTGAAAAATGTTGTTTCCCCATACTCCCTGAGTAAACCACGGGTCACGTGGTACGTGGCAATGACTTGCAATTGTAGGTCAGACCAACGCAATCTCAGCTACCAATTTGAGTGTTTTTGGCAAAGAACGATTTTTTTTTACAAACACATGAGCCGCTCCTCTGTGCCATCTGGTTTACTGAAATATAATTAAACAAATATATATGATTAAACTGCATTTAAATTTATCCACGTTTATAGTTTACGTTTGAGACACACCATTGTTCTGATGTTGACGGGGTGGAAGACAGTTACTGTCGTGCAATCTGCATCTTGCATATCGTAGATGTGGCACAGGCGGTTAATAATCCAGTGGGGTGTTTCGTCATGCAATGTGATCAGTATTGGTGGCTTTTGAAACAGTTTGGTTCTACTGGTGGACATTAGTGCTGAAATGATGATTTGATTTATAAATTGTATAAACATTTGTATTTTCAAAATAATCGATTCATCGACTCAAACAAATCACCTGTAATCTACCCGATCTTGTCAGATCTTGGCAGCTAAGCAGGTTTTGGGCCTGGATAATACTTGAATAGTCGACCACCATGTACGTAACGTGTTTATAGGCTGTAGTGCTCTGTGGTGAGCAGCAGAGGGCAGTGCATTATAATCCATTGTTATAATGTACTTCTAAGTTCCCCTATGCTCCCCACCTTCACCAACCTGCGTGGTGAAACACATTCCTGGGAGGGAGCTGGTAGGAACGTTGGGTTGCTCGGTCAATGGCCAGAGTCAACGGTACCACGTGGTGTATTCCGCAAATATGCCCGACTGTGAGGGCGGGCACAAGCCGGCGTGAGTAGGTTAAACGTTGAGTTTTATAAGGGCACCACGGGGTGACCAGCCCCTCCCCACCCAGCCCCACCCCCCACCCAGCCCCTCCCCACCCTCCCCACCCTCCCCTCCCCACCCAGCCCCACCCTCCCGACCCAGCCCCACCCTCCCCACCCAGCCCCTCCCCACCATCCCCACCCAGCCCCTCCCCACCCTCCCCTCCCCACCCAGCCCCTCCCCACCCTCCCCTCCCCACCCAGCCCCTCCCTCCCCACCCAGCCCCTCCCCACCCTCCCCACCCCAGCCCCTCCCCACCCTCCCCTCTCCACCCAGCCCCATCCCTCCCATTTTTGGATGCACGACGGATGGATACAATAATCCCCTGTGGGCTGGTGTAACCAGGAGGTTCCTACCAGTAATATGGTCAAGTGACTCTGCATGGC